TATTTGGAAGTGGAACAAAGCTGATTGTGGAAACAAGTGAGTTGTTTTTGTGTGTTTGAAACCTTTGAATTATAGAATCTAGAGTCTGATTACAATGTGGTAGATTGGGGACAGGTTTAATTTGACATCAAAACATAAAATTTGAAAGTTTTAACGCACTGGACTGTGCACAGTTCCGAGTGATCCCAGCAGAACTGCGTTTCTGTCCAGGACCTCAGCACTGTGTGAATACTGGTGCAGCTGATAAACCCGTATTTGGTAGTGGAACAAAGCTAATTGTAGAAACAAGTGAGTTTCTTCTGTTTCACAGTTTTTTATGCGCTTAGGAAATTTCAATGAACTTTATTAAAGATGACATCAAATAGGTAATGTGACTGACAACAAGAAGGAAAGATGTTTATGAATACAGTACCGTATAGGGGTTATCTTTTTTATTTTGCTCTATATTTACATGACTAATAATAATGGGCAGCACAGTGTGCAGTGGTTCGCATTACTGCCTCCCTGGGTTCAATTATGGACCTGGGGTGCTATCTGTGTGGAGTTTGCATGTTGTTGTCGTGTTCATGTTGGTTTCCTCAGGGTGCTCTGGTCCTCTTCCACAGTCCAAAGACATACTGGTAGGTTAATTGGCTCCTGGGAAAATTGTCCCTGGTGTGAGTGTGTGTGTGTCTGTATCTGTGTGTGTTTGCCATGGGCAGGTCCAGCGTCCCATCCAGGGTGTACCCTGCTCTGCGCCTGTTGCTTGCTGGGATAGGCTGCGGCTCCCGTGCGACCCTGAATTGGACCCAGACAAATCGGTGCTTAAAAAACTGCTTAGAACAGATATTTAACAGTTCAGAGTCCTCGCAGAATGAAAACGGTTCTAATGGAAGGGTGCCCGTACTTGTGCCTGTGTCTGCGGACTTAATGCCGTGCAGTGTAACACTGTGTGAATACTGGAACAGCTGGAAAGCTTGTGTTTGGAAAAGGAACTAAACTGGTTGTTGTGCCATGTGAGTATTTCAGGGTGTTTTGAAAGAGAATGTAATATATTCAAGTTTAAAAACTGAGTTACACACTCTACTGTCATGAACTTGAAATTTAACAAAGTATGTTGGTGTTACTGCAATCTATTTAGCAGTATTTCTTCATGGAGATATGGAAACCCGTACTATTATAAACATTGTGATTACTTGGTTATGGTTAAATTAATTCTGCTTATATTTTGGCTTGTTTACATGTACATTCTCCATATTTAGGCAGAGCTAGATTTCCCACTGTGCTTTAGCGATTTGGTTCTTATTATAAAAGCAGATTTTAAATTGCTTCTTGAAATAATTTTAAATAGCTTTTTGTTTTGCTGTAATGTTGAAAATGAGAAAACATGGTTTAAAACTGTATTAGTCATTGATTATGATCTTCATCACAAACAAAGGAATGTTGTTGTTTTTCTAAAAAATTCTGAAAGGTCATAAATTGTGAACTTCACAGGAATCAGAAAGGTGAAAATTCTGTTATGTCCTGTTACAAAATAAGGCAACTGAAGGATTTTAACACAGTGGAAGCGTTAGGGCATGTTGTAGGTTTTTGAAATGCTCAGGCTCATTGTGTGACTGATTCAGGAGGCAGAAAGCTCATATTTGGAAAGGGAACTCATTTGAAAGTTGAACCAAGTGAGTCTACTTTAACTTCATTTTTAACAGATCGTAGATAACAAGAGTTCATACTAATATGTTCTGTCTTGCTGTTTTTAATGCATGAGCTGAAAAAAGTTGATTGTGCATTAGTAAGAACAGACAATTCTCATTTCAGTGGAAATCTACCAATGGCTTGGTGACACATGCTTATTTTTGTTTTTTATAAAAGTTCTTGACACCTTATTTATGTAAAAAGAGTCTAAATTTCTGGGGAAGAAAAGCCCCCTCTCGTAAAGCTATTTGTCAGGAGAGTTTGTACTGTGTGACTCGTGGAGGAGCAGACAAGATCATTTTTGGCAGCGGTACAAGTTTGGTAGTCGTCCCAAGTAAGTAAATCATTTTCTAGGTCCTGCCTGTTCTAACTGTCTGTTTCATCGAATCCTTTAATGGCACACAAAGTTTTCTTACGATTAGCTCATGCTAATCTCAAGTAGTACAAATACAAAGAAATGTTCAGTGAGTATGTTTATAAAGTACACAGCCGCCGACGTAACTGTATCAAGGAATTCTGTTTTAAACAAGAAGCTCTGTATTTTGAAGCCAGGAGTTTACGAAGGGCAGTGTAGCACTGTGTGAATTCTGGTGGTGGGGCACAAAAGCTCATATTTGGAACAGGAACGGAGCTCATTGTGAAACCAAGTGAGTTTTATTTTTCTTGTATGAGAGCAACGCGTTTAGAATTTCCTATTATGTGATTCTATATAATACCTCATATATTAGCACATTAGATTAGTGTCATTGTAATGTTATTCTTTTTCTGCTGTGGTCACCAACAGTGAAATTCATCAAAGCAACAAGCAAAATGTGTATTTTAATGTTTTCCTCTTCATAAGTTAAAAGAAATATCTTCTGCTTTATTACTTTGTTGCATTAGCCAGTACAGTATATAACATTTATAAATAACATAGGCACCCATATTAACACACACAGGGCTTGTCAAAGAGGCGTTCTCTCTCACAGCTGACTCTTGTGAATTTCAAGCACATCTAGAAGTCCAGTGATAACTGCTGTGTCCATGTGTTCTAATTAACCTCCAGTTTGAAACCCCCACACCGATACACCATTAACTAGCCTACAGGCTAGGTGTTTATGTAGTGCAGTACAACACTGTGTGAACATGGGTAGTGGTGTTCAAAAGCTCACTTTTGGAAAAGGAACTCAGCTCCTGGTGCAGCCAAGTAAGTTTATTTTCTTAAAATACCCAGCTTAGAATCTTCTTTTAAATATCAGAAATATTGCTCATATTTATTAGTGAGCGATGTCACGCATTCAAGGACCTTAAACCCATTAATATATAGCTCATAATTAATTATTTTATGTAATTTGTTTTACGGGAATCCGGTGGTCATGTACAAACATATTCTAAGCAAATGCTGCAAATATATCTCCCTATGAAAATAGGCACTAAACCAAATGTGTGCTGAAGATTTTACATTGTATAAGCAGTTAATATTTAATGTAAATTTTAGTCTTAATTTGAACCTGCAGTCAGAAGTTCATTTTATGGTATAGTAGCTAATTTGACCCATCTATGTCTCAGTGAGTTTCTGATGGCTGAAGTTTAAGGGTTTTCCAATCCTGTGGTAATTTTGAAAATGATGTGCTCTAGCTTTGTAAGTATAGAAATCTTTGCCAGTATTGCTGAAGCGAGATTATTGTTCATATTAAGTGAAACATTTGTTGGTAACTTGTACAGTACGTTTTTGTTAGTTATGATAAGAAGCTACAGAGTGTTGCTTATATTATGTCTTCTAATATTTGTGTATATTATGACAAGTTGATTTTTTTTCTCTAGTTATTCCTCGGTTTTTATGTGTGCAAGTTAAGTCGTGACAGGAAAACAATGTAAAATAGACTCAATGTGGTACTTTGTGTTGTGTGTTCACCACACACGATGACTTTACTAAACATCTTGTGCTTTAAATATATGCTAGTTTAGCGATTTTCTATCCAGTCAATGCTGGTCTATTAGAATTGCTGTGTATTTCTTCATGGAAGAGCTTTGCCTGTCTATCTGCATGGAAAAGGCTGCCAGTATTTGTATTGAGATGCACTGATGTGTGAATGCTCAGTTAGGAGGATATAAGATCATTTTTGGAGCTGGAACGAAACTTAATGTAGAACCAAGTAAGTAAAATTTCACATTATGCTACTGTATATGATCATTAGTGGTGGTAGTATTCATCTAGTAGTAGAAGTATGCATTATTTAGTTATACAAACAATAATGTCATATTTTTTTCTAAAATGCATTCAAAAGCCGATGGCCGAGAAAAGATGACTGCTCTACTAACAGTTCAGAATAATCCACTCCAGACCTCAAATATGAAGTATTTGTCCAAACTTGATAAAATTGATAGGATAATGAGAGAGAACTTATGAATAATAGTACCTTAAGGAAATAATTAAAAAAAAAAACTTTTAGTTCAACCAAGCCCAACAAAAATGTGGCAAAATTCAAGTCTAGATGGACATCCTGGTCAGCAGAGAGGGGCAAGTATTTGCCCTGCAGGTGGAGTTTCTGGTCAGGAGAGCAGTATTTGCCCCACAGGTATAGATTCTGGACAGCAGAGAGGGGCAAGTATTTGCACTGGGGTAGATCAGTGTGGGGTGCTGGAGGAGGGCTGAACAAGCTGGTGTTTGGCACTGGAACGCAGGTGTCTGTGGAGCCCAGTGAGTATCATCTGGGGGTCGAGTCCAGCAGGGAGACAAGGGGAATTCTGACAAGCAGCAGGGATGAGCATTTCTGTACAGTTCAGTCCATCCTATGGAGCCCAATCGCGCGAAGAGCAGCTGATTTCTGTCCTATCAAAGCTGTACCGTTGTTTAACACAGGAAAAATGTTCAAATGTTTTTTCCTTTCTAGTTACAATTCCATACATCCATGTTTCACACTCATTCACCAGTGTAGGTTAAAACGGGTGTCATGCAAGTATTGTATTGGCAAAACAAAAGCTCTCGTTGTCCAAAATGAGATTCCAGGTTTCAGCAACATGCACAAGGCAGGTTTAAGGTAGGATATCGGGATTTCTTGCTTATTTTATTCAGTGTGAAGCTGGTGCTGGATGAAGACACTGGTGTCAAATTAATTTCTGAAAGCAGAACCAGATTATGGACACAATTGATAATCGATATTGATCTTTTGTAAGGAAAAATAAAACACATCAACCTGTAATGTGTTTCTATTCATGTGTAATCTGCATTTAATCCAGAAGGTTTAGGACATTGTGTACCCTTCTTATGTAATTTTTTTACAAAAAAAAGTTTTTACAAAGCCCCTGACATTATTACAGAATGTTTTTCTAATATAATGGGGAACATTAATGGATCCCAACATATTGAACAGATAATTGATTCCAATTCCTGTATTGCCATTATTATTATATTGTGTGATTAGATACAGATAGCTTGGAAAGTATATGAAACACCTGCATGCTTTTTTACTGAGTGGACTCTCAGAGCCTGTAGTTTCTGTAGAGGAGCTCAGCACTGTGTGAATACTGGTGGTGGTACTGGCAAGCTCATATTTGGAAGTGGAACAAAGCTGATTGTGGAAACAAGTGAGTTTCTTTATTGTATTTATGGATGTGCGAAAACGTCCTGACAAATGTCAAATTTATAGAAAGACCGGGGATGTAATTTAAGAAAACTACGCATTTGTGCTGCATTAGGTATTCTGGTACAGAGTTGGTATCTCTGGTGTATGGGCGTTCACCAGAAGAAAGAAAGAGAAGAAAGCTGTTAAGGTTAATAAAAAAAAATAAATGCTGTGCTTGTAGTTAGGATCACAGTCATATTGGCACATATAGGTAATATGGTATAAACCTTTAGCATATATCTGGTTTTGTGAAAAGAAAATAGTTTTTTTTTTTCCATTTTCTGTATTATACAGTATATAACATGTGCTCATGTTTTAGACTGTGAAATCAAGCATCTGGATTGTGTTTTGTCAAAGGGCATGCAAACCTTGCATTGTGTTAAAAAGCAGACATTCCTGCTCTCTGCTTGTTCAACATTAGTCTTTTTAGGAGATTTAAGAGATTCTTAATCATGCTTCCACTCTTACAACGAACAGGCAACAATATTTTAAATAAAAATCTATTCATGTTTTGGATTACAATACTGTACAAGTTAAGTACCTCTCTACAGAGTAAATAATACTTAACCCCTGAATACTGTCTTACAATGGCTGAAAGGGTGATGATGCGTATTCAGCTGTAGGTTCTTGTAGTGAAGTGTGATACTGTGTGAATACTGGTGCAAACATTGTGTTTGGAAAAGGTACCAGGCTAGTTGTGCAACCAGGTAAGTTCCTATCTTTTTAAAGCTTTAGTTTTCAAGCATATCGGAAAATGCTAACTGGATTACGCTCAATGTTATTTGGGTCATAAGGAGCATGAAAGCTCGTTCTTGGTAGAGGAAATCAGTTAAATGTTTGTTTGTGAATGCAACATTTAACATGAGTGAATGGAGTGGACGAGCCTGATTAATGTGGCATTTTTAGAAACAGGAGCCATACTGCTGGACCACACTGCTTTGCATTCAGATCTTGTGTGACGGGACAGTCTGTGCTCTTATGGTTAGGCATTTAATAACCTCAGGGATTCAGGAGGCATACAGAAAATTGCTTTTGTACAGGAATTAATAGTTTAATCAAATCCCATATCTTACGGTTAAGATTTGCAGTCTTTTCCATTGTAGTTGTACTTTGAAAGGATGTATTCAGGAACGTCACTTGGCTGTTTTGGCAAGAGACATCTCATTTGTTGGCACATACAGTTACAATACACATTTAATATCGGCTTGATAATAGCATCTATATACTGTATGCCATCAGTCCTGCTGTGCTGTCTTGCGTACTCTTTTGTATGGATTTATTTCACTGAAAATGAAAAAATACAATTAACACGTAGGTCCCAAGTAGGAAACAGGTATTTGCTGTGGGTTATTTCAGTGTGTGAATACTCAGTCGGGCTTTAAACTTGTCTTTGGCACTGGAACAAAGCTGAATGTGCAGCCAAGTAAGTAATGTTAATGGTTTTATTGTCATTTTATCATTGTTTGCTGATTTAGGGTTATCAAGTCCGTTAATCAGGAAATAAGAAAGGAAGAAGATTAAATCTGCATAAGAATTATTGTTCTTTTATTATTGTTCCTCTTATCAAAAGATCTGATGTTGGTCAATTTAGTTTCATCAGCTGCTTCAGTGGAAACTGTAACCTGTGTGTGGTCATTCTTCATGGGAAGAAGATAGTGTTCTAATTAACCCTGGAGGTGGGACAAAAATATTCCAGTTCTGCAAACAGAAATAAAAAAGGACAATTTATATAATGGAAAGTGTTCCAGGATGGTGTAATTTCAGGAAATGTGTTTTGTTTCTGTGTCAGTTCTGTCTTCCTGGAACAGCTAGGATTTTTGATGTAGAGTCTAACACTGTGTGAAAACATCAACTGACAAGCTCGTTTTTGGAAGTGGAACGAAGCTATTGATACAGCCCAGTAAGTAGAAACAGATAGTGTGGTTTGTGTACGTACAGTACACTGTATTTATTTCTTATGTATACCAAGTGTTTAAAAGCTTTATTTACAAACCATATCGCAGCATTTGTCTTCATGGTTTTCAAAGATAGTAGGCATGAAAGATATAGACACTGCCATATTTCTGCAAATAACCTGAAATTTAGGTTGGCAACTAAGGACAGAAAATAAAACTCACTTATCGATGAGATCCCACTGGTCTTTGGTTTCTGTAGCAGTGTTTAACACTGTGTGAATGACAGAACTGACAGACTGGTATTTGGAAAGGGAACTAAACTGATCGTGGAAACAAGTAAGTCATTTGTTTTCATACTGCTCTACTTTATTAATACCGGCAAGAGAAGACGCAACATCTGAATTCAGATCCAATAACAAATCGACAATTAGGACAATAGTTTTGTTGTCAGTCTATGTGTGTGTGTAAATTATCTCATGTTTTTTCATTGTTGTAGAATGCCATGGTTTCATTCTTTGTTAGGTAAAGGACATTATTAAACTCCCAATGTGAAAAAGTGTGTTTCTGTCAATGAAACTAAACAATGTAGGTAAGCACTGTCTTAGGATATTGTTGACATGATATTGTGTTTTAGTAGAGTGCATAATGCATCATTGTAGTTTACAAAACTTTTCTATTACTATAAC